TTACAGTTTTATATCTTTATGTTTGAAGCCTGAAATGTGGCAAAAGGTCGCAAAGTTCAAGGGGGCCGAATACTTTCGCAAGGCACTGTATACTGTCTTAATTCCTACATAGACACTTATGTCTTCCTTTGTTTCCAAGGAACTGCTACATTTTAGACATTGCTCTCTTGTTCCAATAAAACTGCTCTGCCTGTGTGCTAGACATTGCTTTCCTGTTCCTGGGCTCAGATCTAATCTCTATTTCAACTATTCAAGGAATCCCCATAAACTATAGCTTCCCCGGCCCATTAACCAGGTGGTGGTAATAAAGTAACTGTGGACCCTCTTTGCTAAAGCTGTAAATCTAATGAGATTTCAGTGTTTTAGTGAACCAGTCTCCCTTGATGTTAACCAGTGCTTCAGTTGGCTAACACAGTAAATACTGACCAGTGATTCAGTGAACACATAGGGTGATATATAGATATGTAACTACATAAACATAAACACAACTGTGAGATTAAAATATATAAACTTATGTATGCTATATAATAAAAACCCTAACTAATTATATTCATTTCTATCTAAAAATGAAAATCACCCTAACAATTTGTCTGTGTAAAAGTGGTTCAAAATGCTTAGGCTAGATTAGAAGTGCCATAAAATGCTGAAGGGGTGCTTTAACGTTGTGGGAAAGTGCATTAAAACTGTTCTAAATAGCAAGCGCACACTCCAGGAATCTGTGACATTTGGGAACCCCGACACACCATTTTATGGGTTTCGAATTGTCAAAAAATAAATAAATAAATCTATATATATCTATGGTGACAGAGCGATACACATTAACAGAGGTGTTGATGCTTGGATCCTTCTTTCCAACTAAGCATTTTTTCCACATGCTGGGTGATTTAAGGCTTCACTGATAAGATGATAGGCCTCAGGTGTGTCCAAGTCTAAAGCCAGATTCATTCTTCTACATCAGAGTATTGTCGTGGCTCCTGGAGGCACAGCCAGATCTGATGGGCAAAAAAAAAACATAGCTATCGCATAGAAACTATGAGTAGTGTTGATGGCTGCGTGTATTTTCTTCTGTATGCGCTCTGTTCTGATTGAAATAGTGCTGCTTACTTTTGATATAAAAGGCAACATTGGTGAGATGAGGCAAAGCTCATTAATTCTGTTAGTAACTCTATAGCTGGCTTTTGTGATCAACAGTAGTAAAACTGTTTGCATTGTGAACATTTTTGTCTCCCTCTATCACAAAGTGAGGGATAGAACATAAACTTGATTACTTTGTCAGTAAAGTAGCCAGGCATATTTGTATTTCATAATGATAAATTCATCTGTAGCAATAAATACATAACATGGCCTGGTGATACATGATGAATCCATCTAGTATTGCAGTCAAGAATAAGATATCTGCCTTAGGCTGCAGCACTCACACTGGATGGTGTCTTCCTTCAGCCACCTCCTCTTCTGTTCTTGCTTCTGAATTAGAAATTCAGGTAGCACACGCTGTAGCTCCTTCACTGGTCCTGAGGCTGTGCTGCTGGTTTTCGTATTCTGATACAGTGCACACACAAGTGGCTTATATGGAATCTGTGGCAGTGCTGAGTATTAAACACACTTTGCATGTGTCATGTTTTGATAGACAACAAACTGTGGATCTGTTTTGTTGGACTTCACACTGACAGAAAATGTGTTATTTTCAGCTACTTGATACATCTTTACTCTGTTTCATATTGACTGTGTAGAAAATGATCAAAAACATCTCTACATAAGAGGGAATGGGCACTTTACTGTGTGTTGAAAGCTGCAACGATTAACACAGGATTCATGAGAAGCAGTTTTTTCAGTCTGTGTGATATCACATGTACCCAGCATCCTTTGGTAACAACACATGCTTTGACTCTATTTTTATTTATATTCAATAATGGTAAATGGTAAATGGTAAATGGACTGTATTTATATAGCGCTTTCTCACAGTGTGTTACACTGGCCAAAGCGCTTTACAGGAGATCATACACCATTCACCCATTCACACACACATTCACACACCGATTCAATAATAAGAGATGTTTACAAGTAACATCTTGAGTTTTGATTTTAAGTATATATTATTTTTAGAAAACAGTTGTTTTAAAAGCTCCAAATTTGACTTGACCTGACTTGAGCATGTAACTCTGATTTGACTTTGCAGCTTCACTGACTTGCTTGTGGATTTCATCCAAATTAACTGAAACTCCAAAAAGAATGTCCCAGTTTTTTCATACACATACAGTAATATAGGTGCGTGGTGGTTTGGTGCATGCTGTTCCACAAAAACATCTTTAATCTTTGCACCCACCAACATCCCAGAAATTAGCAAAAGATGTATGAACAAATAATTTGTTTACAGTGTAAATATAAGCAGCTTTTAGCACGTGTTTCTTTTCATACAACAATTGATTGGATTCAAATAAATTTTCATTCAGGTTCTTAAACACATAATTTACACAGATCGTAGTCTTAGTGTAGTTTTCATATGAATAAGTCAGTAGAAACACATTTCTGTATGCAGCTAGCATTTTATCCAACATGCAGAACTGAATTGCTAAGGGAGAAGCCCACTGTGGCCAGCAGTATTCTCACTAGATCAAGGTGCCTCCAGTTTTTCTTTTAATTGAGCACTTGTAAAATTACAACAAACTCGCAGACGATGCTTACAAAAATATCAGCATTGCCATCTTTGTGAATCAGAATGGACAGAAAGAAATAAAAACAAATAAGGCATGGGAGTTGTACATAAAACAAAATTAAGAAAAAATTAAAAGCAGCACATGACAACAAACAAAGCAGATGGACCAGCAAAATTTTCATTTGGAGGAGGCTTAAATTAAAACAAAACACACAAAAAATCCAGAGATGGTAATCCAGGGCTTATTATTAGTAAAGCAGTGCACAGATCTGGTGGGAAAAATAATGTCTGTACAGAATTTGATGTGGTCGGTGATGCAGTTAGTGATTCTGGATCCTACCGATTTCTAAGCACTTCGAAGCCTCACTATACAGCCTACCAGATTTACTGTATTTCTGAATGTCATGTTTTATTTTAATAGCAACCCATAAACAGTAGAGAGAGAGCAGGAGACTCAAACGAAGCCACAGGATTCCAAATAAGATCTTACTCTAACTTACTATCCAAGAGTGAAAAGGTAAGATTTTTGTTTGAGGTTTACTGCGCCTTCATAATAGAATGTGTCATTGTATTAGCAGCAGGAAACTGCAGACAAGTAGTCAGTCAAGGACAATTGAAGTTGCAAAACTCTTGTAGTCACAAGGTGAGAATACTCAAATCTGTTGCAAACTGAAAGTTCAAATGTTTCAGTTTGTGAAGTTGTCATGAACGAACAAATTCAGTTATGTTTAAGGTCAGAATTAAAGGTGATGTAGTGGACTACAGCACATTAAGTGTCTACATGTTTGGCCTCCCCAGGAACCTACACGAGAGGTTCAGGATTAGGGATGGACTGATGCCATTACCAGTATGGATCTGATACCCCCCTCTAGTAGAAGTTTTCCCACTGTATGCTGTAGAACAATCTACGGAGACATAGTCAGTTACGCATCATTCAGTCAGAGCTGTGGTAGTGCTGCATTTGTGATCACAAGTTTTCAGGTAATTTGCACAGCCTGTTTCCATTCACCCCACTACCAGAAAGTGAATATTACTGAATTGTTTATAGTCACTGCACTCTAGTAGAACCAATGCATCTGTAAGTACTCCTACTTTGCAAGATGTGTATAAACCAACTTGCCTTTGCATAGAAATACTAGAACATAACGTACAGTACACCTCATTTTTTGACCTTTAGGTTACATCTAAGATGAGAATTCATTGTTGTAACATTGTAGAAAAGTCAAAAAACAAAGAAAAGCATTCCATGGGCCCTTTAAACTGAAAACAGGTTCATTTGTAAACATGCATACAGTATATTGTCTCTTAGTTCACAGTCTCTCTTTCACAGCCCCCCCATGTCTCTGCTTCACCCTCCCCCCTCCCACCTTTGTGCCTGTTAGTCATGTCTACACTGCAGTGCATTACATTATTAGATATCATATTTTAGCTATTCACGCTTACATTTCTGTTGCCGTTTGTTCATAGTCCATGTTTTGTGTTTCTGGTTCTTCTGTAGCAATCGTGGTAAAAGTTTGATTAGGCTTAGAAAACCTGCACCTCAGCAGCCCCGACGTAACAGCAGCAAACGGGTGACAAGTAACCTTTCTGTTCAATGTGTTCATAAAACGTGGAACTAAAAGGCACAAATGAATCAGGATGTTTGTGGAACATTAACTCTGCGCTGGTGAAGTGCAGGAGGCCTGAGACATGGGGTCTCATTCTCATTAGAGAGCTGATAAAGCTTGGTGGCCACAGCAGGCCACCTGCTGGGGACATATTGTGGCCACACAGTAAGTTTTTGTGGCCACGGGCCATTGGGCCATGGTTAATGTCAAACCCTGACCCAACTTGGATTAGATGTGAATACTTTCCACCTGGTTAACCTAAAATTAGGACCAATTATTCACTGACCCTCCTTCCCAATTTTTTTTTTCTTTTAATCATCTTTTTAATTTAGAACCAACACTTTTTTTCAGTAAACACGTTTTTATTTGGTTTGGTAGCAAAAACAGCACCTCAGGACAACAGTATGATGTGGGCAGTCTCCTAAGGGGTAGACAGTTTCAGTTACAGGAAGCACACTGGGAAGACATGCACTACCTACTGTAGCAGGAAATTTTAAGACATTAGTTGACCAAAAACACTGAAGCACTGTTTCAGTATATTTGCATTCCTTCAACAACACCATCCATGTCCATTTGATTCAACACAGTTTTGAAGGTAACAGTCCTTCAAGTATGGAACAGCTGGTGCATAGCGTTCAAGGGAGCATTTTGCCCAATCTCATTTTCAGAGTCAAAACAATTTATTTTTTAGTATTGTCAGACATCCAAAATAAATTCTTTGGTCCCTTTCAGATCTTTGGTAGTGTTTGTTTATTACTTCATGAAAAAAACATGTTTAGGCTCTATTGGAGAGTGGCTGGCAAGCATTTAACTTCAGACTTGTTTATTAGGATAGTTGGGGGGAGGGGTGAACTGTGAGTATAAAACTACCAGGGAGACAGCTGAGATCATAGCAGACAAGTAGCTGCATCTCTACACTAGACAGCTCAATCCTCAATGACCTCTGAGGACTCAGACACCACTCTGCCATCCTTGGTCTCAATCATCTTGATAACGACATTCTTCTTGGTCTGGGTGGAGCCATAACCGCTGCCACCACTGCTGCTGCCACCGTATCCACCACCATATCCGGAGCCATAACCACTGCCATATCCACTGCCATATCCACCGCTAAAACTGCCACTGGAGTAGCTGCTCTTCAATGTGTCTGCAGGGAAACCACTGTAGCTTGCTGTTGAGAGAAGAGAGGTAGGGGAATATGGTTAAATGTCTGGAATCTGTTAAACCTGAAAAAAAAAAAAAATTAAACTGTGTACGAATCCATGAAAGGGAAGGTGACTTACTGCTCTGTTGGGAGATGTTGATAGCCTTGATGCCGCTCGCCAGCCTGTCCTCCTCTCCCTCCAGCAGTTTCCTGTAGGTGGCGATCTCAATGTCCAGAGCCAGCTTGACGTTCATGAGGTCCTGGTATTCCCTGATCTGGCGGGCCATGTCCTGTTTGGCTCTCTGCTGGGCCTCTTCCAGGTCCCTGATGCGAGCCTTGGCGTCTTTCACAGCCAGCTCACCACGCTCCTCAGCCTCAGCAATCTGGGCCTCCAGGTTGGCACGCTAGGAGAAGATTTTTAATAAATCAGGCATTGTCTGCTCTCCTGATTGTTAAATTAGTGTGCTTCATGTGGGACAACATGCTGTACCATGGTGCAAACGCTTTTTTCTATACCTGCCCCTTGATGGAATCAATCTCGGATGTCAGTCGCTGGATCATGCGGTTGAGGTCTGCGATCTCTGACCTGGTAGCCCTCAGGTCATTTCCATATCTGTTGGCGGATGTCTGCATCTCCTCATACTAAATGAACATCAGAAAAACAAGGTATCAGTAACTGAAAAGCTGCTTGATGAGCATATGATATGCGCTGACTCATGGACTGAGCTTTTGCTAAGCTGGAAAATATTTTTCCTTTAGGTTACTGCTATAACATTTACAAACGTAAGAAGGAAAAAAGAGTCACCTTGGACTTGTACCATGACTCTGCCTCAGCACGGCTGCGGTTGGCAATGTCCTCATACTGAGCCTTGACTTCAGCCACAATGGCGTCCATGTCCAGGCCGCGGCTGTTGTCCATCTCCACAATGACTGAGGTGTCCTTGATCTGGCTCTGGAGCTCATTCAGTTCCTTAAGAAATAGAAAAAAAAATAGTTATGATGTTAACGAGATGGTGAGAACAACCATGAATGCAGCAAAAAAAAAGACCTGTTCCAAAATGACACCACAAACATCATAAGCATGTCATGACTGGATACATAAATCAGCAGCAAAAAGCAGAGACAACATGCTGACTTTGTGCCATACCTCCTCACAGATCGACCTGCGGAAGTTAATCTCATCTGTCAGGCTCTCAAGCCTGGCCTCCAGCTCCACCTTATTCATGTAGGCCTCATCGACATCCTGGAGCAATGAAAAGCATTTGTTAGAGTCACAAAGATGTTTTATATTTATATCTTCAGTGACAAAGAAGTATGAAAATGCTAAAAGAAAATGCAGTTACGGTGTCATATTTGTAGTTGAGTAAATGTGGATGCTAACCTTCTTGATGAGGACAAAGTCATTCTCACACTCTGTGCGCTTGTTGATCTCATCTTCATACCTGAGAGAGAGAAAAATCCAGATCCTGAATATTCAGAAAAATGTCACCTTGTGCTTCTGTTCAGTTCTGGGTTTATATGGTAATGTAACACTAGGAGGTGCAAGTAGCTCATCCCTGATTCTTTAACTCCTTTGAGACCATTGCTTCACACAGTGTCTGTTGACTTATGGCCAAGTGTTACTGATATTTCTCCCCTTGGGAAATCCTCAGCTGATAGGTTTCATTTGTCTCTGGACAACTAAACAAATATATGCGGCACTATTGTACCTTGTTTGTAGAGATGGCACATCAGCATGCACATTAGTGCCTGTGTCCTGTTATGTAAAGCAATAGACAACTTTGCTGGCATCCATCTCTAGAAGGAGTTTTACCTCCAGTCATATATAATGTAATGGGTGTTCAGAACATGCTTCCTTGGTGTTGTAATTCCCTTGAGTCTGTATGACGCAAGACAATGGACAGATGCAGGGAGTAGGCCACAAAAAGATTAACTCATTGTACTGCAAGGCTTGTATTGAAGCACAAGTCTGACTTGAACTGTTGTATGTTGGTCCTGGCATTACAAAATACACGTGTTTTATTTATGAATGGAGGTTCTATGCAGTGCATTTTAAATAACCCTAGCTTAGCCATATACCTCTTTATAGGATGGAAAAGGCCTGATGCTACGTAAGACATCATATCTTTAGTCTCCATTGCCCCCTCCACACTCACTTGTTCTTGAAGTCCTCCACCAGGCCCTGCATGTTGTGCAGGTCGGCCTCCAGCTTCATCTTGTCGTTGCCAAGGCTTTCCAGCTGTCTGCGCAGGTTGCTGATGTAGGACTCGAACATGGAGTCAATGTTGGAGCGGGTGGTGGTCTGTCCCTGCAGCAGGTTCCACTTGGTCTCCAGCATTTTGTTCTGCTGCTCCAAGAAGCGAACCTGATGTGTGGAGAAAGAATCAGAAGTCGCAAAAATTAGGTTATAATATTGAATGAGCACAGGAATGTGTGAATAAACGGAGGGCTCAGTCAATCATTAAGCAACCATTCAAAAAGCCTTGACAGAAAATAACTGACTTATATGCCTGTTTACTTTTACACACATTTTCCTAGTCATGAGTTATGAATAATTATGAAATTCCATTTAAAAGTGTGTTGGAACTGTGGCCTGCTCTGCCTTGAAACATTGCCTCTAGGTTAACATCCTAATAGTCAATCATCAGGCTTAGCCTTTTATGTCTCCTAGTCCTGTTCACAGTTTTCAGCCTGTGTTGTTTTTAATCTATCTTTGGAGATCTGTAAGTTGCTGTTGGCTGCGTTTCCAGACTGGCTGTGATTTTCCAAAGGAAGGCCTGCTCAATGTGCATGTATCCTGACAGGAGGTAGTGGGGAGGGAGAACAAGAAGAAGTAGGAAAATGTTGGTGATGCAGTAATAGAGCTAGTTAAAGCTTTTCCTGCATGTCTTTCTGTTGTTGCACAGCAAAGTTTGCCGCTACAGAAGACAAATGCAGAGAGCGAGAGAAGACCATGAAGCAGGCAGATGCAGAAAGGTAAATATTTTGTTTTAAGTTTGATGAAAGACAAAAAGAGAGAAGTGGGGGAAAGTGAAGGTGATTTATTAGTTGAAGACAGGAGGAGGGGAGAGGGTGAAGGCCTGAGAAGTTTGCATATTTATGAACAGTAAAAGCATGTTAGTCAAATCAGATATGTGACTCAGTGCATGTTGTTCCTTGATGCAGTGCACTCTGTAAGGCAGGATCTAACCAGTAACGCTGTCATTTCATTTCATTGTAATACTGAAGTATAGATAATAAAGTCTGTGTGATGTGTTATCTTGCCACCAAACGATAACAGATGATAAGGGGGAGAGGTTTATATGCTTTCTGCCGAAGTATGCAAAATGCACTTTATCTTCTTTAATCATTGCACCAGCAGAAGGAGAGCTGAACTGTAACCAGTCAGCCGGCATTGACCAGAACATGAAACCAACCGGCTGTATTAAATATTAACCCACTGTGGAGGTCTCAGAGGACAGATACATTCCTCAGTATTACACAGATGCTGATTTCAATTATTAAAGATCAATGTAGTTATACTCCCAGTGCACAGTCCTTTCAAAATGTGTCACTGTGAATGAAGGTATTGACATTAAGATAATCATTGCACCCAGTACTGATTGTACAGTGGGTGTGAGTGTATGTGTGTTGGGAGGGGTGGAGCGGGGGAGGTGCACCATGGCAGTGGGAAAAGCCACACCCCAGTTAAGGGGGGGACCAGTCCCAAGGTAACTCGTATCACAAGCTCTGAGCTCTACCCTGACACACCCTTAGCTTTCTCTCTCTCTTTTTCTATGTCTCTCTCAGTCTCTCCCTTTTGCATGTCTGTTTTTCATCACTATAAAAGTGCAGCCTGAGCCAAAAGATAGCGAGCCTAACCTCACATTTGAGCTCATTCATTCTTTTCGGCCATGGCTGCATTTGTGGGAGGTGACAAAAGCAGAGAGGGCAATAAACTTACTTTGTCCAAGCTTGCAGAAGTGAGGAAATCCGCATTAGACAGACATGTGGCAAACATATGGATCTCTGTATCAAATACTGCATAACAATGTCACAACACTCAAACACTGTTTGACTACAGTGTGACTGAGTTTTCCACCTTACAAAATTGTTTTTTATGTTTTTGAAGAGGAGCATAAGACTAGCACCTGGGCAACAAGAATTTTTAGCACATACATATCTGCCCTCTGTTACCAGCTCTTACCTTGTCAATGAAGGAAGCAAAGCGGTTGTTGAGGGTCTTGATCTGATCCTTCTCCTGCGTGCGGATGTGTTGGATATTGGGGTCAATCTCGAGATGCAGGGGGGCCAGCAGGCTCTTGTTCACTGTCACAGCAGTGATGGGAGCCTGGGAGCCCATGCCACCACCAAAACCCGCACCCATGCCCATGCCCATGCCCATGCCTGCACTACTCATGCTTGAGCCCAGACCATATTGAGTGCGGCTGGCCACGACAGGTCCTCCAAAAGCCCGGCCGGTTCCTGACATGGAACTCCTGGAACTGTAGCTCCTATAGGAGCCACCTGGTCCAGCATAGGAGCTGCTGCTGAAGCTTCGTGGGGCAGAAGACTTCACACTGTAAGAGGTCTTATAAGAGGTCATTTTGAAATCTGGAGTAGATTTTTTTCTTCAAGCTGAAATGAGTCTAGGAAGTTCAAACCAAATGGTTTGGTTGGTAACACGGGCTGGCAGGCAGAGGGGGGAAACCAGAGTGGATAGAAAGAGAACAAACTGCTGAGGAGTTTTAAAGCCTGTTGCTGTGGGAGGGGACAGGGGTGAGCTGCCATTGGCTGCAGGGCTGGGTGATAGAGGGAGGCAGGGCTGTAACATTACACCCCTATGACACACTGTCCAGTCATTCAAAACCATTAGCTGGTCTTTCTATAGGCTTCTCTTGTGTTGTTAGAGAAAACCTTTTGAGAGGATCCTCAAGGTAGAAGGTAGAACTATTCAAACACACCACAGCTGATTCAACATGTGGAGGGATGGTCAAATTTTAAAAACAATCATTTACATCCAGCAGCAGTAGCTGTATAGGAGAAGGTCAGTGTGTGTGTGTGTGTGTAGGTTGTTTGGTGGTTTCCTGATAAGACTTTCAGTTTGTACACATCAATGCTGGCCTACATTTGCAAATTAAGGTGTATTTATAACACAATGGAAACACACTGTATGTGTGAGTAAGGAGGGAGATGCTGCTGATTATCTTTTGCATCACATGACAACAAATATAAAATGTAGAGTGCAATGCATTAATGCTGAATTCATTACTACACTTTTGGAAATGCTTTAAATGTGTTCTGTGACCATTATCATACCCATCAGCATCTTTTCTCTGTTTGTAAAGACTTTATT